GCTTCTATAATTATATTTTTCATTTATTGAAAGAAAAAATCCTCTGTGTGCATGACACTTATTTGTGTCCTTAATACTTTAGCTAGCTCACTATTCACTAAATTCTCTTCTACCTTTTTCTCCATTTATACAGATGCTTATTTGCCTGCCATCTACCTATCAATATTTTTTCCACCAGCTTGATATTTGTCCTACCTAGTATTTGTCTGTTTAATTCTTGGACAAGCACTATCACTAATGCCCACTGTTGATCTCTCATCTTATGGTGCTTGCATCTATGTATTGGTTCATGTGTCTTCTGATCATATGTCTGTCTCTAGCAATGTGGCCAGGGTTGTTTGTGCTGGTATATCTTATAGGCAAGTGAAAGAGTTTGAAAACCCATCTTCAAAACGTTATAAAATGTTATTTGTTTTTTGAATTATTTTATATATATTGTGACTTTTGGTACAGAAATTTATTTTTCATCCTGAGTGTGCAAGTAACTTTACAAGAACAGCACCAGGAACTGTTACTGGATTTGCAATGCAGTGTTGCTTGGGAAGACGGTGAGAGGGCTGATTTTATCACAGACAGCTTTGCCCTTCATGACTCCTGAGAGAAACAGCCAAAGACGCACAGTCCACAAGACGTTCGACCACAAAGATAATGTTGTTTGGTTTTCTTTGACAGCATCAGCCCCTATTGGAAAATGATGTTTGTTAAGTTCATTTGTAGCGTATTAATTTAACACCATTAGGCTTGAATAAAAAACAAGTAATCCCGTTGTGTCATATGCTCATTAAAAACTTGAAGTCTAGCTAAACTCTTTCTCAAAGACTATTTCTCCTCTTAGCCACCTGATGACGGTACAGATAATTATCAGCAAGAACAAGCTTGTTACAGTTTTCTTGGTCTATCAAGCCCTTGGGTAAAAATCACGCAGAGTGAACAACAGTCACAGGAGTGAAGTTTCCTGGAGTTTTAATGGGTCCTGCTGAGGCTATTAGAGATGGAGCTGCTGCTAAGTGTCCCTCCTGAGGGTTGATCAGGGCAGAAAATCAAGCATGGTTAGAGGAAAATTATTTAGAAAAATAACACTGCTCTGGCACCTATAATTATTCCCAAAACACATGTGTACAAAGGGAGATTTTTTTTTGAATGGGACCTTACAGCAACATACAGCATATATTGGAGTACACAAAATAAGTTTTAGCAAATACAGTGAGGATGATGCTGGAGAAGATTATTTCAGATATCTACTTGTCCTGATCCAAAGTCGAGGAGGTTTCAATGCGATCCCAGGAGCAAGATTAAGACCAAATGAGGTCAGATGCTGTGCATCCGGACCAATTTTATTAACAACAATAAAATGTACAAGCAATAGGAAAGAAAGTGATAGGAAAAAGTGAAATAAAAGATAGAAATTAAGCAAGAAGTCGAGACAGAAAGGCAAGAGACAGTTACCACCCACGTTCCAGCGACGTTCCGATTCTTCACAGGCCTTGGTGGTGAATGCACACAAACTCGCACACGCACACGTTCACTCACACCTCCGCTCCCGTGCATCATCCTCGTGCACCTTCCTGCGGGCTTTTATAGACGGTCCGGAGAAAGTCCATTGGGCCGAGGGTTTCCAAGGCAGCGGCACGCCTGACACGTCCAGCACATTCGGCATGTCCCCCTCTCAAACCTGCCCATGGGGTACACGCCCTTGCTGCATTCCCCCTCATGGTGCACTGCACCATGTCCCAGCAAGGGGTGCTGGTCGTCACACCGCACCAGACTGGCTTCACCATGCAATGTCAGTGGTGGACCTTCTTGGTGCACAGTTCAGTTTCCAAGCAATCTTTGGGACAATTGTCCCACAGTTCAGTCTCTCACACTACTTGAGGATGAGATGAATCGCACCCAAGTAGTGACAATGTATTTGTATTGGCTGTCAAGGGCTTCTTCGCATCTAGGCATATCTACACTGTAGAACTCCACAGTCAGCTGTGCCCTTCCACCCAAGCTGTTTGCTGACATCTGTATGAGGTTGCCTCTTTAGATCAAGCTGTGGTATCTCCTATGCCTGCAACATGAAATCAGCTTTGCCCTTTATCTTCTGTGGAGTGGATGACAGCAGTCCTGAAGATCCCTGCGCCCTTACTGGGTTTGATCATAGCAGGAGCAGCTTAACATGTGATGGACCAAGATCTTGGAACAGTTATTTCAGCAAACTCCAATATTCAGAGTAACAGGGCCTGCGTACAGAAACTGAAGGTGGTGCCAGGTTATGATCTTCAACATCCACCATCTACCCTTGTAACATGAATAAGAAGCTATCTACACCAGCTTGCTTCAGAATTAAATTTCTCCCTCTGTTGCCACCCACAAACGTAATACAAGTAAATGTACAGAGTATCTGAGCAGACTATCTGAGCAGAGTATGCTCACCTACCTACATGCAATGTCTTTCTGCATGTAGAATGCCCCTTTCCTACTACACCGTCCTAGCACAAACCTATCAAATCAAGAGAATCTCTCAATATTAAGTGGAAATTATAGAGACATATTAATTATTAAAGAACCTTTAAATGTCTCAGGCCTGAAGGCAGGTTAAGGTGGGTCTGAATGTTAAGACAGGTTGGCTTTGTGCCAAGGGATTCAGACACAATTGAATGTCTAAATAAAGAAGATTCACAGTGAGCTATGTTTCCGAAAATGATGGGAACCAACATGCGACCTTGGAAAACACTGTGTCATAGTCAGTATTCAAAACAAGCTAATGGGCAGTGCAAGAAACTGTGGGATGAATACAACCTCGGGTTGCAGTATGGACATGACTTGTTTGTTCCAGAGGGAGCTAGTTGTAAAGAACATTGACAAAGTGCATCCTGTACATGTACCAAGAACTTTGTCACTTAATCTAGACAGGTGCATAGTTTATCTCTAAAGCCAATGAGCAGCAACAATAAAATAGGAAACTGCTGTGGAGAATTCATTACACTCAACTTCAGATGTAAGGTTAAAATCAATGTGAAAAACAGGATTTTAAGATATTTTTGCACCCATGACTCTGTCTACAGTAGCATGTCAACTCTTTTAAGCTGCCTGAAAGTTACAATGGGATCAATCTTTCTTGAGATGTGACTATTTCTTATCAAAAGGATGAGAAAGGAAGTCTAGTTTACTAATTCAGAAAAGTCTATGTGATTCAGTAGGGCTATCTATGGGTCCTCCATGGCCCGCTGTTCCTTCAGCAATAGCCATCTGCTCTGATGTGTGTCCTCCATGGGCTGCAGGGAATATCTGGTTGGGCACCATGGAGCACCTCCCCCTCCTCCTTCCCTGACCTTGGTGATCCCTCTGCTCTCTCTCTCACTCTTTTTGTTCCTTCCTCCTCCCTCCATCTGGTGTTTTCTGCCCTTTCTGGAATATGTTTTCACAGGGGGGGCACCAGCTTGGCTGACGCACTCAGCTGTGTCCCGCAGTGTATCCATTGTGGAGCACAGGGCAGCCCTCGGCCCCTCCTCACAGCCTGCAGCCCCTGCTACCAAAACCCAGATATATACACCCGGCACAGTTAGAAAGAGTGGTGATCTACAGGCAATACAGAAGACAATTTAGTTAATATTTCTCCTACTGATTTTCCCACACCGAAGGAGATCACATGTCAGCTTTCTAAGCTTATGACTCATACCTAGGATCTTTTCTACAGCCCTTGGAAAGAAATAAGCACCTCCAGAGAGTGGCTTGCCCATCCTGACTGAGCCACGTATCTAGAAACAAGATAAATAACGTATGGATGAGGTGTTTGTGGCTTTCCACTGACTCCCGAGGAACCCTCACATTGCTGGCATTGGCACTGCTTTTCTTTCTCAGAGGGCTAAACTTAGCAGAAAAGGTGCCACTCCTGGCACCTCTGGTGCTCACGTGCCTTCTGATCCCCAAATAATCAGTGAAGGGACAGTGGCACTACCAATACGTTTAGGATGAGAAGTTCCCTATCTCTGTCCACAAGGGAGCCAAAGCAGCTGCCACAGATTGCATTACAAACTTTTAGCTATCAAATTTAGGCAAGGTTTCACCCATGTTGTACTATAATAGTGAGTAAAGATTCGTGTCACGTTACTTAGACATGTAAATAATGCCTGAGAGTTTAATTCATGCCATCAGTCTTCAGATGAATGTCCTCTTCTTGGCAAAGCCCTTTTCTTTCTGTGAGTTTCAAAGGTAGCTCTAGCTATCGTCACGAAAGCAGACACTGACTTTGAATTTTCAGACTCCTCTTTATAGTCGCAATAGTGGTACAGATATCTTTATTGTCTTTGTCTCAAGGGAAGCATTGCCAGCATCCACTTGGCTAAAGGTAGCTCCTAAGGAAGTGGTACCCAACCTTTGGACTTGTAGTGCAGCCTGGCTCTCACCCACACTGCTGCAAGCTCCCTCGGGCATGGGCAGGCAGAGCACAAACGTCCTGTGACATGGGAGAAGCACTGGGACATCCGTGACATCTTCACAAGGTAGGCAGAAATGACCTGTGCCCTAGGAGAGACAGTGCTTTCAGAGCAGTGGGCACAGTCCAGGGAAGCATCCCCACAGCACCTAAAGGACACTTCTGTCTCTACATTTGATCAGCTGAATCTTGCCACACTCCATGGCCCTTGGCCAGGATCCTCTTCCATACCGGTATCGACACATTCTGTGTCCCATGTGTCTGTAGCCATAAGACACATTTCTTCTTCTTGTGGCTTTTGATTTCTAAGTGACTCAAATAACATGAAAACGTGACAAAGGTGTTTTGCGTTTAATCAAGGTTGTTTTGGGGCATGCTTACATTTTGCTTTTATGGGGTTTTTTTGAGAAGTCCAGAAAACCACATTTTTTCCCCCCAGATGGCCACCTAGCTCCACTTGTACCAGGCAAATTGCTACATCAGTGACATATACTTGCTGTGGAAATCACCTCCAATGGTTTATATTGTTGTAGTCTGACCCAAAAAAAAAAAAAATCCACAAAGCATAGCTCTTGAGATGTCATTTACATAAACACATAAATTCCTGGACTTCCTTCCCCAGGGCTCTTCTGACTTCTTTGTTTCTTAAGGCGTAGATAAGTGGATTCACCATGGGTGTCACCACAGTGCAGAAGACAGAGAACAACTTGTTAAAAGCTGCAAGGTTCTAAGTTTTTGGTAACATACAGAAAAGGATGAGAGTTGAATAGAAAACAGTGACCACAATGAGGTGAGAGGAGCATGTGGAAAATGTCTTTTCCCTCCCTGTAGCTGAGGGGATTCTCAGGATGGTCGTGATGGTTAAAACATAGGATACCACCGTGAAAAGAAAGGGCAGCGGGGCACATGTAGCAGACGTCAAAGATGTCACAACTTCTCTCAGAAATGTGTCACTGCAGGAACATTTGATCACAGGGGTGAAACCACAGAAGAAATGGCCATAATGTTTGCATACTGATAAATATTGGTCATAAGACATCGCTGCCAGGAGATAACACTCTACCCCAACTAGAAAAGCAAATATGAAAAACTGTGTCATGCAGCTGCTGTAGGATATACTTCTGTCAGCTGTCACGAAGCTGGCCAGCAGCTTGGGCAGGATGTTGGAGCTATAGCACGTCTCCAAGCAGGACAAGTTACTGAGGAAGAAGGACATTGGGGTGTGGAGATGCTGATTATCCAGCACCAACACAAAGATGAGAATATTCCCCATCATTGTCACCATGTAGATCACCAGGAAGAGCAGGAAGGGTGGAACCTGAAGGTGAAGTATGTTGCCAAATCCCAGGAGGATGAATTCCGTAATGTAGGTTTTATTTTGCTTTTCTGTAGCTGACATCATGCTGAATCTGAGGGAAAGCAAATACTAAAATGTCATATAAAACATCAAATTCTGTTTTCCGTGCATGGCTGTAAAGATATACTATTCAAATTAATTCTTGGATCCAATCTCTGTATCCTGATAACTTATTATTTAAAATTCCAACTCTTAAAGCATCTCAGCAATATTTTCTATGAAAAAACAACGTGTCCTATCTCAGTTTCAATCACTGTTGGTATGTCTCAGGGACAAGACAGTTTTCTTCTTTTCTAAGAAGTGTGGATGATTACATGCCATTTTTTAGCTCTGTGCCCTGGCTTGTTTCCTTGTCCTGTAGAGGCATACCCTAATTCTTAAATATTATGTTCTGGATATATGTTTATATACTTATGTTCCTTTTTGGATCACCCAGATACAGCAACATGGTGAAAGGTGTCCAAAACTACCTACGCCTAAACTATGGCATTAGCATGCAGTCACATCAGATCATTTTCCGCAGCCAATCTTCACACAAGCATTTTTATATTCTGCATCTTAGGTGATCCTGTTGATTTACAACACAGGGAAATGTTAAGTGTGGGGAGGACTGTCTATGCAGTTTGTTCAATTTGTTCAAAGTCTCATCACTTAAAAAATATTGGAACATTCAGATAAAGCTGTGACTGGCAAAATAAAGTCATGGCAGTAACTGATGAGCCTTACAATTCAGCACATGGGGAATTATTTCCACTGATAGAAAAACACAGAAAGTCGGCAATTAATCTTCTCATCATTTCTTCATTCACTTTCTTCCCAAGTCTGCACACCCTCCTTTGTCAGACTTACCTCCGTGGCAGCCAGTTGCAGACTGGGGTCTCTCAGACACTTGCCCACATCACATTGTGGGACGCCGCATGGATTCTGCAGGCTGTCTTTTCATCGTCTTTATATGAAAGCCAACAGCTTGATCTTCCCAAGTGTTTGCTTTGTCTTTAATAAACCTCCATAGGTACTGGAGCCAAGATTAACTCAGATGTCCCTTATGACTCATTATATGCTCTTGAGTATGAATACAAAATCTCCTTTCGTAGTTTTACTAATGGAAATTTTAAATAACGTATCAGTTGGGTAGAACCTTACCAATAACATTCTTGATTAAAGTTTATAATGTGTTAATACTGCACTGAAATTTACTAATAAATTTTACTTTCTCTATCCACCACACATATTATTTCCAATTATATTCCATATTCCAAAGGCATCTAGATACCTAATGGACATACTGTGAGCTGGGTATCGGCTAAACAGAATAAGAGGGGAGTGTATCACAACCCACTTGAATGGTGTCTGTACAACATGCCTTTGGCGCATGCAGTCATGTATGGCAGGAGGTCATGTTGCAGCATTTCATAAAACCTCTGCTGGACCAAACCACAATCGGTGCCTTCCACAGCTGGATTTCTGATCTGAAGCAGATGATGAGGAGAACTACGGCTTCAACGTTGCCTGAATTCCCTCAGAGGAGGACCTGAAGCAAAGCTCCAGAAGGAAGACAAACATGGAAATAGGTGTGCTGTGAGGATTGTAAGGAGCAGCACCCTGGGGTGAAAGACAGAGTAGGCCAGGTCAGTGGTGGAAACAGGCTGACTATTAGCATGGATGCCCAGTCCATGGTACAAACAGACTGCTAGCATGGATGCCCTGGCAGATACCAAACCCTGAGATTCTTTCTTCTCAGCCTTCTCCAGAGGAAGAGTTCATCATGGTCTATGCTAGAGCCCAGATCTCTTGAGTGCTTTTGCCAGTTGGCTTCGGTTTCAAATATATGTCAAATACAAGGCAGAGGATAAAAATGTGGCAGAAATTCAAAAAAGTTGAAGTATCACATTTTTTCCTATGATTTGGTCTTAATTTTTTTTGTCTGACAACAAACTGCAATTATTCCAAAAGTTGTTCACAGGCAGCATGCATCTTTTTAGCAATGGTTGTGTTTTCTAGCGTTGGTGATCTAGGAATGAGAAAAGACAGTGCCTAGCATGAGCAAACTGTGTCGTGTCGGATGCACTAGGGTCAGTGCACTTGTCTGACTGACCTGCTGTTATTGATATTTCCTTCTTAAATTAAAGGGAAAAAAACACCTATTTGTTGTTCCTCCCAGCAATCAATGCACACTTCTTTCACAGTGCAAATTAACTGTTAACTTCCCAGGCATTGAACGCACCTTTTTTATCCATGATAAACAACTTTGCAAATAATGAACTGAGTCCTGGTGAGTAACTGACATCCAAACTCAAGCATCTAATTTTAGAAAGTATCTATTCAATTCAGGTGTCTCCTGAGCAAGGAGCTTAATTAAACTGCCTAAATATAGGCATCTAGGATGATTTCAGATGCCTAAAATAACAGAACCCCAGCTATCACTCCAAAAGGATCTGCTACATGTCTTCTGCAATACCATTGCTGTGAGGATGTCTGTGGCACCCTTGAGTATATGAAATGGTATTTGGCTCCTTTATTTGGCACCTGAACCCCACTGTAGGTTGATCAGCCAAACAGCTCTCCAGGTCGTATTGACCAAATCTCCACAGACTATAAATGGGAGCTCAGACATCACAATCACGTGTATGGACCTACAAGGTAGGAACTGCAATGTTAAGTGTTCGATTCTGGGGCTGAGTGCAGGGTTCAGCTACTTGAATGTAGATTTATTCTGTCTGAGATTTCTGCAGCCTGATGGCAGATGCGACACAACTCTTGCTATAGACCTGCATCCTCCTTCAGGAAAATGCAGGCAGGAAAAGAAACCCAAATGAACCTAAAATGACACTTAAAGTGCCAGGTTTAAGTAAATGAATCCAGTTTTCAATATGCATAACATAGTTTGAGTTTCATGTAAGAGAAAAAGCTCCACGTGAAGCAAAGTTAACTTGAGTTTATTCTGTGTCATGTTTGGCCAGATGAAGTCTTAACCTTCAGGTTCAGGGGAGCAGAAATCTCATTTTGTGGGTGTGTATTCTTCCTTGAGTTTATCTTTGCAAAGGTTTCCACCCATGTCCAAGAGGTAAAGTGAGAAGCTCTTATACATCTTGCTGAAATTCCTTTGTACAGCCTAAAATCACTCATTTTTACTACCTGTCTCAAGTGCCTGCTTACTAATGCTCAGTATGGCTGGCTGCCCTGTATTTCAGGTAATCTCATAGTCCAAAAGCAAATTGAAATTTTCGTAAATCCATCAGGAAGATGCTATCAGTATTGGCAAAATGTTCCTTTGTCTAAATGCTGGTGGGACACCTGGTTAAAACAATATCCAAAAACAATTCAGAGTTATATGGTTACGATATGAATGCTTCTGAACAATCATAATTCATAAAATCTTCATTTTGTGCTCTCTTCCTTAATTCAGAAGAGCACCAGATACGCAAATGTAGGTACCCTCCTGAGATATGTAAAATCTCCTCTTGGTGGCCTACTTTTTTTTCCCCAGCAGCAGATAACGCATTTTACATCAAACACAATGTGCACAGAACATCACTGCAGACAGTTCCTGGCTGAGTCCCTCTCAGCATTCGTGAACCTTGCATTACTTTCCACCTCACGGCAGAACTCTTTAAGACCAATGGACGAGAACCTACGATGAATCGTGTTATAGCCTAGGCACTAGGGTACCATCCAGTAGTAAGGGAGCTGGGGGTAATGGTTCCTTGATCTACATGGCAGCTAAGGCTCAAGTGTTTCACTTACTGAGCAAGTGCTGTAATCATTCCCAGGTTTAAAAAAGGTTGACAGAAATCTCCTTAGACACTTGGAAGATGGAATCGTCTCACCCAAATTTAGCCTCTTAAACCTTTGATTATTTTAACTATATATCTGGATATCCAGAATCAACTAGATACTCTGGATACTCTGTGTAGATCTCAGAGAAGAGTTTCCATAGCTTCTGCAGGTGACAGTTTTGGTATTGGAAGACTCACATTGCCCATTCTCTCTTCACTTTCCAGATTGCGTTTGTAAATAACTACTTGAGGCTAGGAGCAAATTAACGGTGTGTTAATTACTTATATGAAGGCATTCTGGCACCAAGAAGAGAGATTTGTCTTCTGGTGTGTCTTGTCCTCACCATGGAACTGACAGAGCAGCTGCTTGGTGAGAAACTAAGGGTGAAAGTCAACAGTTAGATTTTGTAATTTTGAAACAGATTTATTCCATCTCATGTTAGCCATAAAAATGGATGATAGCCTACAGTTCAGTTACGACCAGCTCTGCACCTGCACAGGCTGAAGTCACTGTGATAGAAATTGCTTTTTCAAATTGTTTTGACTGCACTCCCCTCTAGCGGTGTTTGCATGATACAACTTCCCCTTCTGCTTTTTGGGGACTTCACTTTTTTCATGTGGTCTTTGAAATTCCCCATGTTCTTAATGTGTTGGGTTTTTTTTCTTTGTGAAGCTCACCAAGCTGATGCAAAGTTGTGCTTTGCCGGGAGGTATTTATTCATCAAGTTGTTTCTGTCTGGCCTTGGAGAGCAAGCAGTCTGAATGCTGACTTACTAATTACAGTCTACCTGGCCTTCTCAATTGCGAGCTCAGAAGCTGAGATTAAAAACTAGGACCTAGAACAATCCTCTCACCTATTTGTGACACCACAGCTAGTCACCCTGCAGAAAAAGAAGACAGAGCAGCATCTCCAGAGGATGACCGAAATAGCTGGCATTTGAGTAGCTACCTGGCATTGAATCCAGTTTTAGACATCAACACATCTGTAGAACCCAGGGCTGACTTGATAGAAATGATGATCATCATCATAGCAACCTTTCACTCAGATGTCACCAATGTTAATCCATTCAGGCCCAAAAGTAATCAAAATGTAGGCTAAGAAAAAGCTAATTCCAATCAGAGTTTCCAAACAGGAAAAGAATGGTTATCTATGTGCATATGAGGTTGACTACAACAACCTCTCCAAGGCTTTTGTTTGCTTGATTATCCCCTGAGGTGTTTCACTAGTCTCAGCTCTGAAAAGGTTTTTAAGGAGTGAGGTGAAGGGAGGAACACTCTCCCTGACAAAATGGAAAAGAAGAGTCTGTATATACAGTTGGCTAAAAAAAAAAAAAGGCAAATATGGAAATTACAGGGGGGTGTGTGTCTTTGCCAAACAAGGAGTTCTAATTCTTTTTTTAATGAGAAAATCAAGCTCTTAGAGAAAATAAAGATGGATACAAAGCCTTGAGAAGTGAAAGATTTTGTAATTGAATTTCAGTGTTCCTGTAGTTTCAGGTAAGAAACAATGTTGGTCTGCAAAGTTGTTGATTGACACAGAAGCAGGACACACTTTCAATGTTTTCAGTTGTCAAATGTTGGCAAATTGGCTAAAAACTGGGGGTTTGAATGAATAAGAGTTTAAAGGAAAATTTAAAATTAGATCTGTGGAAGAAATGCATACATCTTACAAAGTTATGTTACTATAAGTGGTCCAGATTAAAATTATTGAGTGCGTGTCCTTATATAACCTTCTCTGCTGCAGTGTCTGGCCACTTCCCTATAGTGCCTAAATGTCGTGAGCAGCATCATAAAGGAGGTGCGGTCTGCATGGCAGAAGCTGACTTCTGAGCTAATATCTAAACTCCTGTTATTGTCAGTGGAAGGAAACAGATAATTTCCTTAGATGATTCAGCTCATAGAAAGTAGATATATAAAACCTGTTGGATGGATTACAGTCCAGAGGGATTACTTCTCTCTGTAGACTACAAGAGGAGTCTGAGATGCAGTTGTCCCAAGTTAGGTAGCATGAAGCCTGCTGAAGATGGTTCAAATAGCTGCTGCTAAGTTGGAGTGCTAGATCTGGGAAGACAGTGGGCTAAAAGAAACCACCAAAGTTGTATTTGGAACAGAGGATGTGCTTAGGGAACGCTGGGGCTGAAGATCGTCCCTCCCACTCTGTGAAGCGCCATGGTTGGAATTTGTGTTGCCTGGTGCATGGGCTTGAAACATGCACCCCATTAAAGCATTGCCAACACCTCTCCCAACTCCATGTGCATCTGGATAAAACAGAGCTGACAACAAAAACCTAGACAGAAGAAAAAGTAAGAAGATTTTCTGTTCAGTTCCTTTGCCGGTGTAGCCTTAACCACACTATTGTGTCTAGTTTTAGCCACAGAATTTTTTTTTTTTTTTAATTTTTGTACAAGAGAAATCTAGAAAAGATCATCCAAAGCCTCAAGAGTTTTGGAAAAAAATGGGATTTGTAAGGAAATCTGGAGAACAAGCTGATTCAGTACATATGAGAGGAAAATCAAAAAGAGCACCACGACAAGCAGTACAAACTGTATTTTTCTGATTAAGGGTCTGGCAACTAAACTCCCCTTGACTTCTCAGTGACAAGAGGTAAGTACTTTCACGAGATGATTCATGCTGTCTGTTTTAGGGTGAATTAAGCCCCTTAAGTCTGGAATCCTTATTCTACCCATTGACAAGACTGAAGGGTGAGACAACTGGAAGGTGCTTTTGCGTTTGTGGGTTTTTTGTCAGGCGAGCATATGCTGAGGATGGTACAGATGTTCTTCATACTTATTTTCATTGGTGGAAGCTGGATTATTTTTCAGCCTCTTCCAAATAAGAAAAATGTCTACATTGAAGGTCATGTTACATACTTACGTATAGTGAATATAGAATATGCTTCAATACATATTAGCAATGGAAATACGGCTATTTTAATATTGGAGAAACCAGACCAAATATTTATTTTTTTCACAACAGAAAGGAATGTGGCAAAACTTGTGATGACATCAGATGAAAGAAGTTGATTTTTAATTTGATTGTACAGACTGGAAACACGTTAGAAAGTGCCCTTGTGCCAGAGAAGCAGCATAGGCATTGCTTCAGTTTTAAGTGCTCTTCTCAGTACGTGGAGTAATAAGTAATGTGACCGTTGGTAAGTGATAAATCTTTGTAGAAATCAAGTGACAAGACTGATAATGCAAAGGCTTTTTTCCTCTTTGCTTCTCTGTTCTGTGAAGAAACTTCCATTTTTTTGAGCCTTAACTGTCAAGGTCTTCATTGGTGCTAAAAATTCTTGTTTTATCACTGGAACAAAAGTTAAAGCAAGAGTGGAAAAACAAAATGGTTGTTACAGAATTCATCCTCCTGGGATTTGGGAATGGCCCTGAACTGGGTTCTCTTATCTTCCTGATGTTTCTGTCAATCTACATGGTGACCATAACTGGAAACATCTTCATCATTGTGCTGATGGTGGCTAATCGGCACCTTCACACCCCAATGTGCTTCTCCCTGGGCAATTTGGCCTACCTGGAAATCTGCTACAGCTCAAATACCTTGCTAAACAACATGCTTAGCTATCTGAGTGGAGACAGAAGTGTTTCAGACAACGGATGTTTTACACAATACTGTTTCTTTTGGTTGCTTGGCAGCTGCAGAGAGCTGTCTCCTGGCAGTGATGTCCTCTGATCGGTACCTAGCAGTGTGCAAACTCCTGCGCTACTCATCCCATATGAACGGCAAGCTCTGTCTCCAGCTGGGCGCTGCATCTTGGATAAATGGCTTTCTCTCTAATCCTGTGCTAATGTTCCTGATCTCAAATTCAGATTTCTGTGGGCATGTGAAATTGAACATTTTTTCTGTGACTCATTCCCTATGACCAAACTCTCCTGCGGTGACACTCATGTGGCAGGACTTGTCACTTCTGTTGTGGCAGGCATGTGCTCTCTGCCTCCATTTCTGTTGACCTTCTCATCCTATCTCTACATCATTATCACGGTCATGAGAATTCCTACTGCTGTTGGAAGGAAAAAGGCCTTTTCCACTTCCTCCTCACATCTCATTGTGGTGATACTTTTTTACTGGTCAATATTAACTGTCTACATACTTCCTCATCATGATACCCAAGTATCTCTGAACAAAGTCCTATCTGTGTTTTGCACCATTCTCACCTTGGTCAATCCTCTCATCTACAGTCTGAGAAATAAAGAAGTAAAGGAAGCTCTGTGAAAACAGACAAGTACATTTCTGGCTTTCAGAGGGTTGCTTTCTGTTAAAAAAAAAAAAAAAAGGAGTAATAACCCTTAGTGAGTTACAAGTTCAGACAAAACTACACGGCATGTGAATATAGTTAATTTGAATAAAGCTTGGGAACACATAGCTGTTCATCTTAAAATTAAATAAGTAGAGAAAAAAAAGGTAAATAATCTTGCTCTCAGTTGGGAGGTCGTATGGAGAAAGAACATGAACAGGTAGTGAATAATGTAAAGTCAGCAAAATAAATCCATGAATGTCATTATATATGTATTCTTGCACATGTCTTCTCGCCTGCCTGCTTGCTTTTTTTTTTCTCACTACAGCTGAAATTCAGTTCAGGAAAAGTTGAACCTCAATTTATAGCATATAAACCATTTTTCTATTAATCTAATGTTCTGTATTCCTCCTAGTTTCTACATCTATGGTGTATAAGTCTACATCCAAGACTGTTACCTGGACTCCCTTGACTTCAAATAAAGAGAATAAGAAACATTTGCTTGAATGTGGTTAATCAGTTCTATTGTTCTGTATCTACCTGATCTACTTGGATGTCTGGTTTTGGTTAATATAAACCATGCTCTAGAAGGGCTCAGTTCAATATACTGAAGAACTGCTAGCCCTTACAGAAGAACACAAAATGTAGACCTCCAGTCTAAAACTAATTAAATACTACCCATATTTGGACTGACAAAACTGTAAAGTGAAAGCAAAACTCCCACAACAACATTACAACAACTTCCAGAGCCTGCTCTGTTAGCATTTGGTGGAGAGGAGTGGAGACGAATGGAAAGGACCATCTTTACCAACCTGAAATTAGGTAATTTAGTTTATTTTGCATGTGTAGTTTTATTGTCCTTGATAACAGTTAGGAAATAGGAAGAGCTGTTTAGAAATCTTCTGTGGTTATGGAATTGTGACTGCTATGTGTGTTCCTATATTTAACGTGTTAAAAAAACAAAAGAAATAGTGGTCAGCAAAGCTTCACACTTCACTAAAGTGTCTAGCAGTGCAATAAGCAGTGGAGAAGAGACAGCATAGGAACAGAGCTAGCCATCACAGTAGGGAAATACAGCTTTTGAGAGCAGATAGCAGAGCAAGAAATGGCTAATGGGATACACCCCTGGGGTCTGGAGGACGGATCGACTGGAGAGGGGATTAGCCAAAATAGGAAGGAATAGGTGCCACCTGCCACACAAACCTGTATAAGACAGGACAAGATTTCTCATGCCTCAGCTAAGTTTAGGCAGTTAATTAGAGCCCCGAATTCAAGAATATACATCCATCTGTCCCGTAGCATCTATCTAGGATAGGGCAAATTAACCAGGCCCAGAAATGTCTATGTTGGTTTATTCACTATAACAGATATCCATTAACACTTAGACGTCTGCAATACAAACTCCACACATGTGTTAGTCACCTCAGTTCCCATCATACTCACTAAATGGAAAAAGGCATTTCTACACTGTGACTTATCTGCACATTTTGGACTTTAGAGGCTGTGATTAATTACGCCTTAGAAGTATCTGTTCTTCTCCTTTGATTACAGGGCCAGTGACTCTATGACAAGTTCTGATGTAGAAATTTAGGACCTAAACCACTTGACAAACATAGACCTTCAGTGCCGTTTGAGACACCCAGGAGCATCTTAGTTAGTCTCCAGTACTGTTCCAGAAGGATAGGTCTCCTGTGGATCTCTACAGTGTTTGCCAGTCTTAAGCAGATATCTTGGATACTAGAGCATTTTAAAAGTCACTAGATATGTCAAGAACAATTAAACCACTGGATTACAGATGTCTGGAGTTAGGTATGGTGACTCTCTCTTTGACTGGCTACCAGGTTTTCTTACCTTGCACAAAATACTTTATTCAATGTGGGTCTAGGACACTTTTGAAAAATTGATTTCGGAAACCTCACACTGAATTTCTAATTTTTTTAAGAGCTGTATTTCAAATAGGATCCATTTCACCTGAATTTATCCATTCGACTCTAGATGTTTTAGCTAAATGACATGCTGCTGCTACCTGCCTGATAATAAAAAGAGATAGCTGTCTTCAGAAGGTGATATACCCATCCTCAGATGTGTAAAACAAATGGTCTGCTTTGGTTTGGAGTTCCTTTCTCTCCGTCAAGACAGACTAGATTAATAATTCAAAATTCAAGGCATCTAGCAAAGGGTGTTTCCCTCCTCCCATTCCCATCAAATGAAGACTCACACTTTGCTATTTAAACTCCATTACAAATTTAAATTTTAACCTAGTTATTGTTAGCTTTATTGCTTCAACTCATGTGAGACTAAAAAAAAAAAGTTAACTTTCATTAATTTAAATTGTTCACAGTCTGCTACAATACCAAGGGAGATGTTTTGTCTTCTGAGTATATTTGGTAATGAATCCAGAGAGGGTTCCTATGTCAGGAAGCAATGTAAGATAGCATGCAGTTCAGGACGACTGAACCTCGCTCATTCTTGGGGATCCTACGGGAAGCTACTCACAGCTGTGAAGTGTTGCCCAAAAGGCAGAAGAAGTATCTGAAATCATGAACAAAGGCATTGTGTCAGAAACTCTGGATTGCTTCTTATGAACATTGAGGTATACTGGCATTTTCTATACTATTTGATAAGGAAAATTGTCAAGAAAAATTGCTTATGAGTACAGATGGCTCAAGAAAAAAAATAATGTTTTTAAAGGGTAGAAGAAAATTCATCTGAAAACTCCAGATGTATGCAATGTACACAGTGATGTCTGAGCTATATGTTAAGACTTCCATGGAGATGTAAGATAATTAAGTGCTTCTAGCAATTAGCTTACTTTAGATTGCTTCTGAAGAATGTCATCAGAGAGTTTTTGTTTCTACTCATAGATTGTAAGGGAAACATAAATGGGTATCTCAGCTGCTGGGGTCTGTCATATGGTTACTTGCAGAAACAACACAAAAGCTTGTCTTGATCATTCAGGAAAATATTTCACTTGTAAAAATATGGACTTTTTTAAAAAATGTATCTTCCCTGCTCTGAAACGAAAAGGGCTTTTTTTTTTTTTTTTTAAAGAAACAAAGTAGTTGCACAGCGTGGGGAAAGGCAGATGTTACCCACAACAGAGGACAATCAAGTTATAGAGTATTTCAGTAAACTGAACCTACCCGAACCCATGAATGCAGTGGAAGGTGCTGAAGGAAGTGGGTGATGCCATTGCAAGACTGATATTTGTCATCTTTGACAAACTGGGTTAGGTTCCCAGTGACAGAGGAAAAGCAAACGTGCATGCTTCAAGCAGGCCAAGAAGAAAGGTCTGAGGAATGTCAGCCTCACCCTAGCCTCGAGGGAGAATGTGGAGCAAGTCCTCCTGGAAGCCACGTCTAGGCACACGAAGGGCAGGAAATGATGCGTAACAGGACAGATTTACCAAAAAACACATCATGCCTGACCAGCGGGACACCTTTACATAAGGAGATGACCAGCTCAGAGTGGGTAAGGGCAGGGTGGTGATCATTTAATGACTTCAGCAATTCTTGATATAGTAGCCTTGTAGCCAAACTAGGAAGACCTAAACTGGGTGGGAAAACATTAGGATGGCCTGGACCATCAAGGTTGTAATGGATAGTGGTCAACAATCTGAGTCTAGTTGGTAGCTGGCTATAAGAGGCACTCTTATGTATGTGAGCCAGCAGCATGTTCCTACACTGGAGAGGAGTAACCATCTAGCCAGCTGTGTTAACAAGAGCTAACCAGCTGGGCAAAGGAATCATAGAATCACAGAATGGTTTGGGTTGGAAAGGACCTCAAAGATCATCGAGTTCCAACCACCCTGCCATGGGCAGGGACACCCCCCACCAGATCAGGTTGCTCAAAACCTCATCCAGCCTGGCCCTCCAGGGATGGGGTACCCATTCCTCTCTGCTTGGCACATGCGAGGCCAACTGTGGGGGAAGGTGTCCCATTTTTGGAATCCCTCTATACAAGAAAGAGATTGATAAATAGAAGAGACTCCAGAAGAGGACCACTGAGATGATCACAGGGAACACAGGTCAAGATGGTAACATACTGAAAGGGGTTGTGTTTTATCACAATGCCGACTTGTGGCTTCACTTTACTGTGAAGGAACACAGGAAGGTCAACCAGTGCTGATAACCAAAGTGCAGGTTGGAGGGTGCCTTAACTGCAAACTGCCGGGGAGGACCTTTCCCAGCTAATACTGCCTTCCACAGTACACGTAGTTGCTCCTTTCTGTGCTGATATGAAAGGCACCCACAGATAGTGACACCAATAAAGATAACTGGATTAACTGAGAAGTGCAATTGAGATTTCTGACTTACCATTTTAGCTGGCATAAAGGCATGGAAACTGAGAAGGTAATTCAAATGTTTGTCTTGGATATTACTATCTACATCACAAATATCTTGATGTAAACAGGTAGATTGCATAAGTTCTACAAGATAAATTTCCTTGCAATACTGAATTCATAAGCAATTGTCCAGTGGCAGTGAATAAAGAAGAATGATAGTTAAAAAAAAAAAACACAAAATCAGGAGGTCAACATTTTGTATTTCAGCTGTGATGAGACCAAATAGTAAAACACATGTTCTGTCCATCCTTCAAGCTTCAAACATATGGCTGTACCATCAACAGTTTTAGTCTCCTTTATTTATGTGCATGTATGTGAAAACAGGGGAAATTTTATTTTCTAAAAATAGAGCAGAGAATGCAATTAGATTTCACTTCTGTAGGAAATGAATTCATATTTTGCACACAGAAAATAAAATAGGCGAATTGTTGATGAAAACATGTTTCAGAAAATGCCACTTGGACTGAAATACGACAACATTTTAGCTTAGTCAAAAAGGAAAAGACAAATTATAAGGAAAACCCTAGCTCTTTGCACTGGAGCTCATTGCCTGTTCTTATTACTTCATTTTTATCGTGTGTTGCCTCTCAAAATGTTATTTGCCTCACTACATTTGATTGTCCCACTTATGAAAGAGTGGAACCAGTTTCAGAGCAGGTCCTTCATCCCTCTAAAGACTTTTCTTCTCACATCTTCCTTGTTGGCTTATACAGGCTGTGTAGTTGCTCTTTCACATGGAAGCTGTGGAAGCACCAGAGCTCAGAAACCAGACATACTTCACCTTGCAAGGTTTTTCCCACCTCGCCGCTCTTCAGGTCTTCCTCTTTGAGGGAATTCTGATAATGTTCCTAATCACGATGACAGGGAACTTTCTCATCATCATAGTTGCAACTGCTGACCCTGCTTTGCACACCCCGATGTATTATTTTCTCAAAAACCTGGCTTTGATTGAAATTTGTTTTACGCTAAACATTGTGCCCAAGATGCTTGTGGATTTGTTGTTGGAGAGAAAGGTAATTTCCTTCTTTGCCTGTGCCCTACAACTTTCCTTTGTCATATTCCTCATCACTTCTGAGTGTTTCCTCTTGGGTGCCATGGCATATGACCGATACGTGGCTATATGCCACCCGCTGCACTACGCCATAATGATGAACAGGAGAGTGTGTCTTCGTATGGTCATAGCATGCTGGATTGCTGGTATTCCACTTTCTGTGGGACTCACTGGTTGGCTATTTAGCTACCCGTTTTGTGGCTCTAAGGAGATTGAACATTTCTTCTGCGATATCGCTCCAGTTCTGGATCTGGTCTGTTCAGACACATACTTATTTGAGCTTCTTGCGTTCATTGCTACTGTTATAATTGTTTTGATCCCATTTATCTTGATAGCAGCCTCTTACATCCAGATAATCCATGCCATCCTTCAAATGCCATCTGCTGAAGGAAGACGCAAAGCTTTTTTCACCTGCATTGCTCACCTGGTGGTGGTGACACTGTTCTACTGCACAACTGGCTTGATACATTTAAAGCCAAAGTCCAGCTTCTTGGCAAACAGCAGGAAACTGGTGGCTCTTTCTTACACCATAGTAACGCCTATGCTGAACCCAATCATCTACAGCTTACGGAACAAAGAGGTAAAGCATGCTCTGAAGAAGACATTTGGGAGAAGACAATTCTTCAGCAAGACACCTTTGCCTGCACACTCTCCCTGATTTTCTGAAAATTGTTCACACTTGAAAGGTTAAAAATCAAAGAATTAATGCATTCTTCAAAGTCTGTAAAGGGTTTGGACATTTTAGCTTTTGTTGGAAAAACTGAGAAATGTACATATTATATATAATGAATAAATGAATATATTTACTGACTAAAATATTACAGAGACTACAGAAATAAGCCATAAAATCTGTACATTAGCTACAAAATGTTGAAGCCTTTTCCTGTTCTTCTACACAATGGTTAGCTTTCAAGCATGTCTAAAATAAATCACTGTCATACGAAGACATGAATCCAGCATACATAAACCAAACTTGTAGCAAAATTCCAGCAAAGGCAGAAAAAAGAGTTGTGCATATTTTCAGGAAAAACACACAAACAGGTTGCTGGCATATTGATACAGTTCTTGTCATGGTAATCAGTTCCTCCCACCAGAAAGGAAAGAGTAAGGAGAGAGATTTAGTTGACCAGATACAGAGATAGGATTAAATTCAAGATTATGGCATCTGATGGTCGGTATCTATACATGAGTCAGCACCTACATGCCCACCAAAGTCAATGACAATCTAGTCAATACAATCAGAAGCATTTAAGGAGTGAACAACTGAAAGGAACTTGCTTTGGCTACTTGAACACAGACACCTAGTACTGCTGGAAATGTCCTACATCACCTTATTTTGGTGCCTGTGCAAAAAGGTTTGAGTTTCCCATAAGCCTGTGTGATATCTGCCAACCCAAATGTAACAATAATGGGGACTGCAGGCAGCCCAGGATGTTCCAGATTACAGCTGAGTCAAGGGATGTGCACTGTGGTGTACCCAAAAGTCCTCCAACTGTCATATCAGAAGAGTTTCAGGAAACTGAATCCAGGGTCCATGGCCCTGTGTCCATTATTCTCCTGGGGAGATGAGCGTGATACATCTCTGGTGTGTGTGGGTGGTACGGGATCCCGTTACATGATGTCACAGAACCACAGAATGGTTGAGGTTGGAAGAGACCTCTGGAGGTCATCTGGTCCAAACCCCCCTGCTCAGGCAGGGCCACCTAGAGTCAGTTGCCCTGGATCGTGTCCAGATGGCTTTCAAACGTCTCCAGGATGATCCCACAGGCTGTAAGAAGTGAGTGTTGTTAATTGCAAATCCTTGCAAAGCAGTACCAGGAAGAATTACTCCTGGGTAGCTGAAAAATGTATCAGAGAGGTACAGCTCCAGAGCCATTCATGCAGTGTGGGAACACAGGTATGAAACAAAACGGTGTCCCAGGATGCAGCAGTGGAGTGATGAAACATGAGAAACCTCCGGGAAGAATTGCCTTTAAAAGGACTCCTTCAGGAGGAGGATTTCCCTGGGCTGTCAGGCTGTGCTGTGGGAAAAAGCCACCCACTGCTAGAGGGAAGGCACTTCAGGGAGGTGAAGGACTGCTGGCTGGTGGACACTTGGGCTGGAAATGTGAGTACATGCCTGTTTTCTGCATCCTTGTCTCCATGTTACCTGGGCTCTTTCTAATGAGCCTGGCCTCAGCAGTGTGAGGGAAAGGAGGGGAGGGTGTGCTAGGAAAAGCCCGAGACTGGGCAGAAAAAGAAAGCTTAGGAGAACAGAAATCATCTTTTGAGGTGGTTACATAGGTACATAGGTGTCAGGATGTGCTGAGTGGCCAGAACATCGAGCAGGGACGTGTGGGGAGCAGGGAGTTTTAGCTATGGAACTGGTAAGGCTTGTTGGGGAGGGAGTGGGCTGGAGCAGGAAGAATTTACATGGGAAATTTCCCACATTTTAAACTGGAAATACAGGTCCTTTCACTTCACCAAATGCTTTCCCATGTTATGTGTCCACCTTTTTTCAGTCTAGAAAAGCAAAAATTGCCAATATCTCCTATCTGATGTCCCCCCTAAGTTGGGGACTGCCACTCCAGCAAGTGGGAGAAGTGTGGAGGAACGGGGAAGAGGCAGGGCAAGCGCTGCGGCTCCAAGGGAAAGGTACGAGCAGGGGCTGCAGGAACAAGCAGGTTCTCCCAAATGCCACAGGTGAGCAGAGCACATGGACACAGCTCTTGAGCCAGAACAACCCAGAGATGAGTGAGGTGGCCCCAGCAGATCTCCAGTCCTTGTGACTGTGTGCTTCCCCCCTGCCCCACAACCTGACCTTTATGTCCAGCATCCCTGTTCAAGTGATAACCACCAGTGGTGGTTGTAATGGAAGTGACTGGTTGCAATAGCTGCATCCGGCTCTGAGTAGATTGATTTGGGAGAGAGAGATAACACCACGATAACCAAGGGCTGTCCTGGGCATCTTGCTCAACAACTGAGGGCAAGCTGAGCATGCACTAGCCGAAATACGGCTGGTGTGCAAACTTGACTGTAAGTCAATCATCTTATTCCATCAACAGTGAACAACCCCGGGCCCGTTAAGGTCTCCTGCACTGCAGCGGCTGCACACCAGGATCTCCCCTTGAGTAGGGACACCTCTCAAGGTTACTACTTGAGGTTGAGAGATTCTTTGCTGCAATAGGTTCTCAGTAAGTGATTAGCAGCATGCTAAACTATGAAATCTTATCTAGGTGATGTAAGGGATTGACTGCACATATATAATCCTTTAGACATAAACTGTTGACCAAGTCTGGGACTAGGATTGGATCCAGCTGCACCTGGGCTTGTCTCTGAGAAGGAGTTTAGAGATCAAAGGGTCCTTTCTGAACCTTGTGACTCAACGGGAGGGTCTCCCTTACAGTTTTGTCTGACCCTGTCCTCTATACAGTAAATAATCCACTGCACCTTGCCATCAAATCCTGTTAAATCATTGGTGCGTTAACCTCTGAACTTTCCTAACTCACTGGTTTATATAAATAATACGTATTGCTGCTTCTCTCGTGTGAGTGAAGTGCAGAACTGACTGATTCCTTCTGCAAGAGTCCCACTTTGTCCTCGAAGCAGGGTCAGCTGTTGGGGTCAGACCACATTATTCTGTGCTTCATACAGCTGAGTCTTGAAAACTTCTAAGGACAAAGGCTGCACAATTTCCCTGCATGACCTGTTCCACTGCTTGGCTGTCTTCAAGGTCAAAAAGTTCTGGCTGTAACATCGTGGACTGGATGCCAGCAGTCAAGTCCATCAATAAAATCCAACGAGATGCCTGAAGCAGAGATGTGCTATAAGGCAGGAACATCTTGATGGTGTTGGCAGCTGTTGGGGATTGTCATCCCCAGACACAAGAGGAAGGGGCTTAGCCAAAAGTTCTGTGTACCACCGATGTGATATAATGCCAATCCCCAGGAGGTCCACCCCGCTTCCTCACACCCATTGGAAACGGGCTGTGGGAGCGGAGAGGGAGAAAGACAAGTAGTTGTTGCCAGAAGCCCACCACAAGGCCAAACAGGTTCTGTACTGGATAAGCATGTGGATGACAGCCTCAGCTCCTCCTCCAAAATGAGGAGCCAAATCGCAGCGCTGACAGGGTGTCTTCCTATTGTGCCTGAGTCTTGTTGCATGGAGCTGCTGATGCAGTTTGAGGTGGATACAAGGTGTGTGATGTGCTGAGTGGCCCCAGTCCCAGGCTTTATGTTCTCTTTTTGTTTTGGTTTGGGTTTTTTCCAAAAAATATTTAAGCCTCCCAAATGCCAGCAGTATTGCAAACCAGTTCCCCAAATTAGTGAGAAGCTTTTTCTCTGTTCAGCTTTCAGCAACACGGGAAGGGGGGAACTTTGTCTCCAGTCCCCAGCAGAAGGTCAAAGCTCTTAACAGCAGATGGGACAGCGACACGCCACAGTGTGTTCCTTCACCACTGCTCGCCCAGCCCCGCGGGATCCCCCGTTGCAGCGTATCCCAGCACTGGGGGAAGGGTGAGGGGAGAGGATGGGGACGGGATGGAGAAGGATGTGTACAGGGAACACAATAACCTGGCAACAGCCAGAGCAGAGTGGCGCAGCGGAAGCGTGCT